AGAGGAGGACAGATCTATTTCTTACAGAGAAATACAGAGGAGGATAGACCTATTTCTTAGAGAGAAATACAGAGGAGGATAGATCTATTTCTTAGAGAGAAATACAGAGGAGGACAGATCTATTTCTTACAGAGAAATACAGAGGAGGATAGATCTATTTCTTACAGAGAAATACAGAGGAGGATAGATCTATTTCTTACAGAGAAATACAGAGGAGGACAGATCTATTTCTTACAGAGAAATACAGTGGAGGATAGATCTATTTCTTACAGAGAAATACAGAGGAGGATAGATCTATTTCTTACAGAGAAATACAGAGGAGGATAGATCTATTTCTTACAGAGAAATACAGAGGAGGACAGATCTATTTCTTACAGAGAAATACAGAGAAGGATAGATCTATTTCTTACAGAGAAATACAGAGGAGGACAGATCTATTTCTTACAGAGAAATACAGTGGAGGATAGATCTATTTCTTACAGAGAAATACAGAGGAGGATAGATCTATTTCTTACAGAGAAATACAGAGGAGGATAGATCTATTTCTTACAGAGAAATACAGAGGAGGACAGATCTATTTCTTACAGAGAAATACAGAGGAGGATAGACCTATTTCTTAGAGAGAAATACAGAGGAGGATAGATCTATTTCTTAGAGAGAAATACAGAGGAGAATATATAATTTCTTAGAGAGAAATACAGAGGAGGATAGATATATTTCTTAGAGAGAAATACAGAGGAGAATATATAATTTCTAAAAGAGAAATACAGAGGAGAATAGAATTTCTTAAAGAGAAATAGAAGAAATAAGGATTACAATGATCTGTGGCTTCCGCTACGGCCAATCAGATTATTTCAGGCAGAGAAGAGTTCACCACAACACAACCTCGGTGCTTTCTTGTCCTATCTCCTTTTTTAATAACAGTGAAAACAATTCATAACAAAAAGTGAGCTTAAGAAGAAGTCACATTTTCAAGGTTTAAAAAAAAAGGAGATAGGACCAGAAAGAACTTAGGTTGAGACATTTTGAGCATTTGAATGCTTCAGTTTCATTTGTGGATGAACGCAGCTTGCGGTTTTATGATAGAGAAATGTGAAACCACAGAGTAGGAAAGTACATTGACACAAAAGAAGATTTTATAAGGCAAAAAAAGATAAACACTAAAAAAAACAGTGAGAGCTTCAACAGAGGAAAAATAGCAATACCGATTATTTGTGTGTGTTACAACTCAAGGATTTTGGTTGAGGAAATGTTGCATATATATATATATATCATAGAAGAGAACAAAGTGGGGAAAGTTTATGAGCTGTTTTATCTTAAATTCATAGAACTGATTCCTTACCAGAAGGAGAAAAAATTAGTATAAAGGAAAATGCACAAATGCTGAAAAAAATGTTTCATGAAACACATTTAATTTTGCAGAATTTTGCCAAGAGAGTTCTTCTTCTAAAATTTACCAGTTCTAAAAAAAAAAGAGAGAATATTTCAGCAAAACTTGACTAGACCAAGCAGCATTCTTCGACATTTGAAGATTGTAAAAAGTGAATTTGAAACTATTAGTGAAAAACTTAAGTTGATCTAAACATGAGATGAAATTATTTGTGAAAAACTTAACCTAAACATCAGATGAAATTATTTGTGAAAAACTTAACCTAAACATCAGTTGAAACTATTTGTGAAAAACTTAACCTAAACATCAGTTGAAATTATTTGTGAAAAACTAAGTTGACCTAAATATCAGTTGAAATTGTGACAAACTTGACGTAAGCATCCTAAACATAAGATGAGATTGTTTGTGAAACTTAACCTTAACATCAAATGAAATTGTTTGTGAAAAACTTAACCTAAACATCAGATGAAATTGTTTGTGAAAAACAAGTTAACCTGAACATCAGTCGATATTGTGAAAAACTTATAACCTAAACATCAAATGAGATAGTTTGTGAAAAACTTAAGTTAACCTAAACATCAGTCGATATTGTGAAAAACTTATAACCTAAACATCAAATGAGATAGTTTGTGAAAAACTTAAGTTAACCAAAACATCAGTCGATATTGAGAAAAACTTCACCTAAACATGAGTTGAATTTATCGGTGGGAAAAACTCAACAGCCAGTAAAATCTATACAGCAGCAAAAACCATCAGAGAAAAAAGGCAACTTTTCTCTCACACATGAGCAAGCTCTGTGCTACTAGGCGTACACTTTTGCATGACCCCAGCAGAAAAAATAAAACCTTTGGGTGCGCTTTAGATTGGACAGCAATGGTGGCTAAGCAAGAGGAGGGGGGGAGGAGGGAGGGAAACAAGAGGTAATAAATGAGAAAAAAATGAAATTAATATAGTGCGGTCAAAAATTTGTGGTGCAACTTATCCTCAAATATCTCTTTAACAGGTGAATTAATGTCATCCATACTTTGCATAGCAGTTTGTATCAATTTGTCTCAACTAAATCATATCTTTCCAAAACAATCGGGGCTAGATTAAAAACTTTTCTTCATAAATTTATATAAAATACTATGGAATCTCTGTAACATGTAAAATGGTATTGTTTACAGCACTTTCTGCTTCTCACACACATTTAGATAACGCATATATGGCCTACGTCACAGCTCACCAATGACAATTTTTACTTGCAAAACTTGTCACAAAAACTTATTTTTAGTGACAATATTTTTTGCGCTAACGGCTCTCAAAGCATGTGTTCAATAAGCATAATGTCCCGATACGAAAAACATGACGGACTTGCTATTAAAAGCAATATTGCCCCAGCTGTAAACATTTAAAAATCTGCAGAAACCACTCACTTGGATTTTTTATTAGTATTTATTAAGGAATTTTCTAGAATACAGCTTGCAAATGTTTACAAAAATGTTGATTTGTTAAGACAAATTGGTACAAGTCACTGTGCAAAGAATGGAGAACCTATGTTTGATAGTTGAGGAGATATTTGACAATAAGTCGCGCCACGAATTTTTGACCGCACTATAGATATACATAAAGAGTGCAAAACCAGATCCCTGAGCCAGATCTCTAACACAACAGATATATGATACGAAGAGGAAAAAAAATATGTCGCATGCGTCAAATAATTGTCGACTGTTTACCTCTTCTGGGAGTTTGGGCTTGAAATAGAGAGAAGAAAGTAGAGATGTGACGAGCAAGAAATACTAGCTACACAAACTACAGAATCATAAACACAGACCCCTGCTCCAGCTAAATAAATGATAATGTAAGGGTTTACCGCCCCGATCAAAACTAGTAGCTTATTTAACTCTTTATCTCCGAGGGAGAAATAACTTTGCCAGGCCCCTATTTTGGTACAAAATCTAAAAATGACAAAAACGTTACTGAATGGGTTATTGAATCAAAACAAGTCAACTTTAGTTTTTGTAATTTTACGGCACTTGCAACACAATAAGGTCACACAAGTGCCAAGCTAAAGAATAGATGTGTTACAAGAGGGTAACAGATACAAAAAAGAAGGAGGGGAGGAGAGATAAGGACAGACGTTCGATAGGAAAGAAGGAGCAAACCACACCGGAGGCACCACCCGCCAAGCACCCACCAAGGAGAGATAAGGCAACAACAGATGTTTGATAGGAAATAAGGAGCAAATCACACCCAGAGGCACCACCCGCCAACCCCCCATCGTACTCCCAACGACAAGCGACCAAAAGTTGTGGGCGGGGCCACGGACCAACCACAGAGCACGCTGGCTCACCTTGCTGGCCTCCGACGACTCTAGATCTTTGTCCTTGACCTCTTCACCCGACGGGCCGTCGGCCTGGTCCCACGCCTGGAGCCGGTTCTGCTTCTCTCTCTGAGGTGAGATAGGACGAGACAGGTGAGATGAGATGGGATGAGATGAGATGATGAGATATGGTGAGATAAGCAAGACATGATGAGATATGGTGAGATAGGTGAGACATGATGAAATATGATGAGACAGGTGAGATGTGATGAGATGAGATGAGATAGGTGAGATGTGGTGAGGTGAGATGAGATATGGTGAGATGTGGTGAAATAGGTGAGATGAGATGAGATGAGATGAGATAAGCTATGTGAGTAAAGATAAGATATGATGAGATAGGTGAGGTGAGATTAGATGAGAGATGAGATGAGATGAGCTATGTAAGTAAAGATAGGTGAGATGTGATGCTATGTGAGATAAGATATGATGAGATAGGTGAGATGTGATTAGATTAGAGATGAGATGAGATGAGATAAGCTATGTAAGTAAAGATAGGTGAGATGAGATGCTACGTGAGATAAGATATGACGAGATAGGTGAGATGTGGTGAGATAGGTGAGATGAGATAAGATGAGATGAGATGAGATAAAAATAAGATAGATAAAATAAGAAAAGATGTGGTGAGATGAGATGAGATAAGACTGGATGAGATTTAAAAAATAAGATATATAAAATTAGATTAGACACAATGATAGAAAAGTTAAAAATGCGATTAGATACAGTGAGATGATAGAAAAATAAGATAAGATAAACAAAGATAAGATAAGATGAGATAAAAATAAGATGAGATGAGATAAGATGGGGTGGGATATGGTGAGGTGAGATGAAGACGTTTGATGAGAAAGAAAGAGCAAACTACACCAAAACTCCCTCCAACCACCCACCCAATTTCTTTCGGCTGATGATTATTCAAGACAAAAAATACTGTAATATCATAAGACTTACTTGTTTACTCTGGTGTGGCTTGCTTCTTCTTTCCTATCAAACTTCTTTCGTCCTTTCCTCTCCTCCTTCTTTTCCTTGCATGCCACTCTATAAAAACACCTCTAAACTTCGGCACTTGCACATAGCCTATTTGTGTTGTAAATACTGTAAAACTCTTGCTAAAAACACTCTTAGAACAACTCTAATTTCCAGCACTTATAATATGACTATTTGAGTTGAGTTGCAAGTGCCATAAAACTAAACCGAATCCCCCCCCCCGCAGTATTTAACACTTAGCAGTCACACAGCCAGCAGTACAAAATACCCCACCTGGTCACCCAGCCAGGAGAGTGACTGCAACCGACTTCTCGGGCACTGCGCAGAACTGTGCCAAGTGACCGGAACGGATAGTTTTCACCGTCGCATTATAGCGCCAAGTGACCGCAAAGTGTTAAGTCACAACCCACCTTTTTCTCTACTTCCTCCATGGCCTTCCGCCGCGCCCGGGCCAGGATTTTGGAGGTTCCGGGTGGGTTGGCCTTGACCTTTGTCTGTTCCTCCTTCAGCACCATCATGGAGGCCGTCAGGGGCTGGGTGAACGGAGAGGGCAGGTTCAAGTCTTCCTCGTTTACTGGGGAGGAAAGCAGGGAGGAGGAGAGGAGGTGGTGGGTGGGTCAAAGTTGGCGGGTCAGGTCAGGGGTCAGAGGTAAGATTTCTATATTTTATGAAATGGG